CCTTATTTGTACGAAAAGTACTAAATGGTACCTAATTTGGTATTGGGTGAAAGGACTGGGGTTGGAATCTTAGATTTTTATAATGAGGTCTCTATTGGTATCTGAAATTGAGATATGGGGGTGGTTTTCGAATTGTGTACTATATTTGTACGAAAAGTACTATAATGTACCAATTTGATATTGGGTGAATGGTAAGAGATACAATTCAGAAATTAGATATTGTCACTGTTCCTGTGTAGCCTGGACATATGAGGTTGATTTTGGGCAATGTGTCCTATAATTGTACGAAAAGTACTAAATGGTACTATATTATTGGTATTGGGTGAAAGAAAAGAGCTAAAATCATGAAATTTTATATTTAGATTACTGATGGTATCTGCGTTTGAGATTTGGCAGTGATTTGGAAATGAGTCCTATATTAGTACAAAATGTACGAAATGGTACTAAATTTGGTATTGCGTGTTGGTATAGGGCTGGAATCCTCAAATTTGCTATTGAGGTCTCTGTTGATATCTGGATTCAGATATGGAGGTTGTTTCCGGAATGTGTACAATTATTGTACGAAAAATACTAAAATGTACCATGCCAATACCAAATTTAGTACCATTACCCAATATCGAGATAATGGTACTAATTTTGGTATTGGGCTGAAATTCTGCAATCGACAACTGATTGATATCGACGTTACTTGTGGTGTCTAGGTTGGAGAGAAGGAGGTGGTTTCGGAAATGTGTACGAAAAGTACAGAATGGTACTAAATTTAATATTGGGTGAAGAAATGGATATAAATTTCTGAGATTTGATATTTAGACTACTGATGGTATCTGTATTTGAGATTTGGCGGTGGTTTGGAAATACGTCCTATATTTGTACGAAAAGTACTAAATAGTACTAAATTTTACATTGGGTGAAGGGATAGAGCTGGAACTCTCAAATTTGATATTGTGGTCTCTGTTTGCATCTGGAATTGAGATATGGAGGTGATTTGAGAAATGTGTACTACATTTGTACGAAAAGTACACAAAATGTACTATTTGGTATTGGGTGAAGGGATAGAGATCGAATCCTCAAATTTCATATAAAAGTCACTGTAGGAGTCTTAGGTTATGATATGGAGGAGGTTTTGGAAATGCGTCCTATATTTTGTACGAAAATTTGTACTAACTGGTACTAAAGTTAGTATTGGATGAAAGGATAGAGATACAATTCTGAGATTTGATATTTAGACTACTGGTGGGTTTGGAAATGTGTCCTATTTTTGTACGAAAAGTACGAAATGGTGCTAAATTTTGCATTGGGTGAAGGGAGCTCTATCCCCTCTATCAAATTCCTGAAATTTGACAGGTCACTCTTGGTATCTGAAATTGTGAGATATGATGGTGGTTGGGAAATGCGTCCTATTGTTACTAAGTGGTACTACATTTGGTATTGGGCGATATTGAGTGAAGGAAAATAGCTGAAATCCTGAAATTTGATATGAATGTCACCGTTGTTGGTGTCTGTCGTTGGGAGAGGGAGCTGGTTTTGGATATGAGTACTATAATTGTACAAAAAATACAGAATGTTACTATATTTGTTATTAGTTGAAGGGATAAAGCTAAAATTCTGAAATTTGATATTAAGGTCATGGTTGGTTTCTAGGGTTTAGGCATCGAGATGTTGGAATGGTTTTGAATAGAGAAATTGGATGTGGCAGCGTTGTGCAATAATTTTACTAATAACCTCTTCGGGAAACTTCGAAATGAAAAATTTTGAAGTCTTTTGGAAATTTCCTATTATTTATTCCGAAAGAGGAAAAAACTTAAATAATATATGAAACCTTGAAAATCTGAAAAATTACTACGATGTATGAAGTTTTGATTAAAAAATGTTGTCAAACTGTGCATTTTGGATACTAAAAAGGCCAAACATGAACTGTTGGAACGAATCAAAAATTTTAGGGTGGACTTTTCGCTGAGGAAGTAGTGGGTACTTGCTAGACGTCACATATTAAGAGGAGACCTCGTAATGGTCTTCCAAGAAAGAAAGACATTTTTAGGGGTCTTATATGGTCAAGCAGCCTCTTCGAAGAAATGATGTATCAAATGTCGACTCTTTTCATAGTTGGATATTATTGCTGAAGACCTATTAAAAAATCGTTCCACAGGAGTCCTATAACAGGCAATAAATGGGCTACAATTTAACCACCCCCCACATGATCTTCTCGTATCTAGAAATTGCATATTCGAATCTCACCTACCAATTCGCAGCGGAAATAATAATTTCAAAATCCAACATCTTAATAGCCTCACATATTTTATCATTAGAAAGTAATTAATTACAGAGCATCGATGAGCGCAAGCAGTGTCATGTGCGGATTAAGTTATTTGCTTTCGAATTAAGATCGACTTAATGCCACTTTGCGAAACGTGACGAATACTTTTGAGAACGCCTCCAAGCCAATGCAGCTTAATTACATTAAAAGGTCAATAGAACGAATCCACAACACCTTCCTCTCCCTCCCTGTCTTCACCCTCACCACCTTAGCGAAACATGTTGCACCGGCACCGGTCAGAGAGAGATTATTTGACAGATGTTGGCACTTAACGTGTTTAAATGGTGAAAAATGACTACTAACTAAATTCCGGTTGATGTTGGATTTTTTTTGCGCTAAACTTGAATTGTTGTTGGCACAACAACAAAATCAAAAAAAAAAAAAAAAACAACAATAAAATCTTAAAAAGGCGAATAAAACAGAACAAAGCTGCTTGCTGCCTGTAATGACCTCCATTAACAAGTTTGTTTTCAGAGACGTCATAATTCCATAAGATTTTTTGGATTTTTTGAGCTGGGCCCGTCGCTGAGGAACGAACATATGTCATGTTCGCACTTCAAAATTGCCATAAACAAACACACACACACAGATACACAAACAGATTTGCATAGTGGAAGTTGTTATCGGAATGTTGAATGACTGACTGTTTGACTGGGCGAGTGAGTGACCGCTGCGTTAGATAAACTGGTCGAGTTGAACTGCATCATTGCAATCGGAATTGGTAATTGAGGTGAAATAACTATTCCAATTACGATTCGGAGTGGGAGAATAATGCAATTAAATCAAGGAAATCCAAATGTGAACTGCATTTGGAATTTCTTTAATCTGTAGAAGAGCTGTAGAGGATATGAGGAAGGTCTTCGATATCGATATAGGATCTAAGGAAGGTGTTCCAGCCTTGGAGGCCATAAGAGACTCTGAAGGGTGAGATTAAAAAAACTGCAACCAACTTCAGACTGCTGACATTTCAAAGCCACTCAGCACCGACAGCTGTTAAAATTGTTCCAGTGGCCGAAAAATGGCTCGTGAGCTGAACATATCGCAATATTCCATCCGGCGAATATTGAAAAATGAGCTCGGGATAAAGCCATTGATATTTCAAAAAGTGCAAGAACTTACACCGCAACAGAAAGAAAATAGACTCAAAAGAGCTAAAGAGTTGCTTCGCTTGGCCGGAAGTGGTGAATTGCCGAATTTGGGTTTCTCCGTCTCCGATGAGAAAACATTCGTTGTTCAGCTTCATTTCCAGCGCACAATGGCCACCAAAATCTCCAGATACCAATCTGTTGGACTATTGTGTCTGGAGTATTTTGGAAAGCAAGGTTGGCACTAAAAAATACCAAGATGTCGATCACCTCAAGCAAGTGCTTCGCCGGGAATGGGCCAAAATACCGCAGAGCAACATTCGGACAGCGTGTGACGGTTTCATTGGCCGTTTGAAGGCCATAATTCGTACCAAAGGTGACCAATTCGAACAAATCTTAATGCTATTTCTATATCCCATACGGCCATCTACTCTTCAGTAGATGTCCTATACGGGCATCTACTCTTCAGTAGATTTTTTTTTTTTGTCCTAAACGGTTATCTAATCTTTAGTAGATGTCATATACGGCCTATATGCTCATCTGTCCCACAGTAGATGACCTCTACCGCCATCTACACTACAGTAGATGACCTCCATCCACTTTACAGTTAATGACCTGATATAAAGACCTGTCTGTTGAATCCTATTGGGGTCTTCTCGGTCTATAGAAGACCTCTAAGACGTCATTTGTCTATAGAGGACCTCTGGAATGCCTCCATTTTATAGAAGACCTATAGAGTACCTTTAAGACGGCGTTTGTAAAAAGAAAACTTCTAGTAATTCTTTTGTCTATGGAAGTTATTATATCTATAAAAGAACTCCAAGGGGTTCTCGGGATGAACAGTTTTTTTTTTAAGAAGGTTATCTATCTTTTGATCCCCCCTGGGTGTTCTCCCTCTATAGGGGGGTCTCCTGTCTATAGAAGACCTCTGGAGAACCATTAGGGAAGTCTCTGGCGCCTTTTATGTCCATAGAAGACCACCGGGAGGTCTCAGGGATATCTCCTGTCTATAAAATACCTTTGAAAGATCTACTCTCTATAGAAGACCTCAGGCAAGTCTTCTGTCTGTAGAAGACCTCAAGAAGATATTTTGTCCGTGAAATGCCTCTTCTGTTCATAGAAGACCTCTAGAAAGACCTTTATCTATGGAAGGCGGCTGGGATGTCCGCTATCTAAAGATGAACCCTAGGTACGCCTTCTATTCAAGACGACCTCTAGGGGATCTACTGTCTATGAAAGACCTCTAGATTATTTAAAATGCCTTTATAGATAGTGCTTCCGTTTTTAGAAGACTTTCAAAAGGTCTTCTGTTGATAGACAACATATTCAAGGCCTTCAGTCTATAGGAGAACACCAGATAGTCATCTAAGTAAGATCCCTATATATGGGAAATATATATGCAAAAAATTCGTTGATATTCCTCCTATGGAATACCTTTTGAAGATCTTCTCTATGGAAGAATTGTGAAAGCTCTTAAGTTTCTTTTTTGAATACCTAACGAAACCTCCTAACATCTTCCCCTCTTAAAATATTTAAAAATAATTATAGATTCTCTTTTTAATTCAAATTTCCCTCCCCTTCCTTCTTCCCCCCTCTTCCAGTGGCGTCGCGATGTTCAAATGGTGCACGAGTTGCACGTGAAGACCTATCGTTTTTCGATATCCTGGCCACGCATAATGCCTGGAGGCTATATGAATCAGGTCAGTACGGCAGGTATTAAATACTACAGTGCCCTGATCGATGAACTGCTGCACTACAACATTACACCCATGGTCACGATGTATCATTGGGAGTTGCCACAGAGATTACAGGAACTGGGCGGTTGGACAAATCCTGAAATTATTCCCCTATTTAAGGATTATGCTCGTTTGCTGTTGGAGATGTTTGGTGATCGTGTTCAAATATGGACGACCATTAATGAACCATGGCATGTGTGTGAACATGGTTATGGTGTGGATTATATGGCCCCGGCTTATAATTACCCCGGCATACCAGCCTATTTGTGTGGCCATAACTTGCTGAAGGCTCATGCCGAAGTGGTGCATATGTATCGGGCGGAGTACAAGAAGAGACAAGGAGGACGTATGGGTATTACTTTGGATACATCGTGGATGGAACCGAAGAGTAATTCCCCCGAGGATCGAGAGGCCTCACAGAGAGCTTTGGAGTTTTATGTAAGTGTTATATCAAAGTTTTAAAAGGTTCTCCTCGGAATTCTTCCATCTCCTTATGCCTTTAAAATTTCAACTTGAAATAGACATTCTCAAAAATTGATTTTGTTTCCTTCCTTTATTTTATTTTGTTTTTTTGTTGTCGCTTCTCAGGTCGGTTGGTTTGGTCACCCCATCTTCTCCACCCACGGCAACTATCCAGCCACCATGGTGGACCGCATCCGCAATCTGAGTAAGGAACAGGGCTTTAGCCGTTCTCGTCTTCCCGAATTTACCAAAGAAGAAATCCAACGGATCCGTGGCACAGCCGATTTCTTTGGCATCAACACCTACACTACCTCACTGGTGACGAGTAATGATCACAATAATTCGGCCAAGTTTCCGATACCCTCTTTCAATCATGACATGGGGGTGGTGGAGTCCCAAGATCCCAATTGGACGGGGTCGGGGTCCGTGTGGCTTAAGGTAAGTAACGTGCTTTTTTAATATTTGTTTACAGAAGGGAAGAACTTGGGAGACCTCAAGAAGATAGGCTATGGAACTATGGAAGGCTTTGGAAAGGCTATTGGAACTTTAAGGGGAGGTTCTGTAGTAAGAGAAAATTTGTTAAAGATCCTATCCATGGAACACCTCAAGGCGATAGTTGGCCAATGAAAGGCTTTTGGAAGATGACTCCAAAGAGAGGTTCTGTAATAAGAGAACATTTCTAAAATATCCTCTCTCTATAGAAATCCCTCTTCCGATTTTTTTTATCTTCTAAAGGTCTTCTACTTTCGAAATGTCTAACATCTTCTAAATAAGACCTTCGGAATGTCTTCTATGTGTAGGGTACCTCTGAAGGATCCTCAATGTCTAGAAGTCATCCAGGAGGTCTTATATTTATAAAAGGCCTCTCAAAGTATGTTGTCTATAGTTAAAGCCAGAATTTCTATTTATTGGGGACCTCCTGAAAGCCTCCCAAAATATACCATACCTCCAGAAGGCTCCACATCTCTAGAAGGGCTCTTGAAGGAATTGGCCTTAGGAGAAACGAACGATTTTTTTTTGGTAAATATTGTATCCATTTATTTTTAAAAGACCTGTAGATTGTCGTCTCTCTATTGAAAACATCCCGACCGCTTGCTATCTAAAGGAGACCTCTTGAAGTTCTTCTGCCTGAAGGAAACGTTCAAAAGGGCCTCTAACTATAAGAAACTTCGAAAAGGCTTTAATCTGCATATCGCCTCTAGAAGGGCTACTAATTTATGGAGATCTAAAGGAAATCCTTCATTTTTATCTCCACAGATCTACAGATGCTCTTCTATCCATAAGAGAGATTTTAGAGATTTTCACCTGTAGAAAACCTTTTCTAGGTCGTCTGTCTACTCGAGACCTTCCAAAAGCCTTCTATCTATAGGAAACTCCATAGAAAGTTTTGATTTTTGTTGGACCTCCAGAAGTCTTCTTATCTGTAGAGTACCTCGCTATTGACTTTCGATAGGACATCAAGGAGACATCTAACATGTTTTCCATATTTAGGAAATCTAGGGAAGGCCCATTATCCTTAGGAGACATTGGGAATGTCATTTTTTATGCCGGGCTTCAGAAAGGATAACTATTTTAAGGAAACCTCCAGAATGTCTTCTACTTGCAGGATACTTTAAGAAGAACTGTCATATATAGGGTACCTCCAGAAGGGCTCTAGGAAAACGTCTTAATGTAGAGAGATCTTCTGTCACTGGAAGCTCTGCTGTTAATAGAATACCTCCAGCAGATCCCCTATCTATTGAAGGCCTCTAGAAGCTCATATATGCAGCGGAAAGTCCTAAGAGGTCTTATGTCGGGACTTCTAGGAGGCCTTTAAAGGTTAATTTTCCTTTAAAGACCTCTAGGAAGTCTTTTGCCTAGAGTCTAGAAGACCTTGAGGAGATTTTCTGCCTAGGAAGACATCTGTTTATAGAGAACCTCTATAAGGTCTCCTATTTATGGAAGACCACTAAAAAATCTCTGCCTATAGAGAACCTCTATAAGGTCTTCTATATTAGACCTACTTCTATTTATCGATGGCCTCTAGAAGTCCATATGTAGACAGAAGAGTACTAAGAAATCTTATGTCTGTATAAGATTTTAGGAGGCCTTTAAGAGGTCCTTTTCCATTGAAGACCTTTAGGACGTATTTTGTCTATAGAAAACCTTGAGAAGATCTTCTGCCTAGGAAGAAATGTTTCTATAGGGAACCTCTTTAAGGTCTTCAGTCAATAAAAAGCCTTGAGAAGATCTCTAGGAAGACATCTGTCTATAGAGAACCTCTATAAGGTCTCCTATTTATGGAAGACCACTAAAAAATCTCTGCCTATAGAGAACCTCTATAAGGTCTTCTATATTAGACCTACTTCTATTTATCGATGGCCTCTAGAAGTCCATATGTAGACAGAAGACTACTAAGAGATCCTATATAAGACATTTAGAAGACCTTAAGAGGTCCTTTTCCATTGAAGACCTTCAGGACGTCTTTTGTCTATAGAAAATCTTGAGAAGATCTTCTGCCTATGAAATATCTTTAGGAAGAAATATTTCTATAGGGAACCTCTTTAAGGTCTTCAGGCAATAAAAGGCCTTGAAAAGGTCTTTTGTCTTCGCTAGAAGACCTCTAGAATTCCAACTGTCTATAGAGAACCTCTATAAGGTATTCTGTCTATATCAGACCTTCTTGTATTCATCGAAGCCCTCTACATATAGACGTGCACAGAAGGGTCCTAAGAAGTCTTATGTCAATATAAGACTTGTAGGACACCCTTAAGATGTGATTTTTTCATTGAAGACCTCTAGGAAGTAGTTTGTCTATATGTGAAGAACTTCCGCCCTTGGAAGATCTTTAGGAAGAAATATTTCTATAGGGAACCTCTTTGAGGTCTTCAGGAAGTTCATATGTGTTCCGGGAAAGTCCTAAGAGGTCTTTTTTGTTTGAAGACTACTAGAAAGACTTTTGTCTATATGTGACGATCTTCTGCCAATGGAAGACCTTTAGGAAGAAATATTTCGATATGGATCCTCTTTGAGGTCTTCAGTCTATAAAAGCCCTTAGGATGGTCTTCTGTCTATGGAAGTTCTCTAAGAAGACATCTCTCTAAAGAGAATCTTTATAAGGTCTCTGTTTTATAGAAGACCTCTAGAATTCCAACTGTCTATAGAGAACCTCTGTAAGGTATTCTGTCTATATCAGACCTTCTTGTATTTATCGAAGCCCTCTAGAGGTCTATAAGTGCACAGAAGGGTCCTAAAAAGTCTTATGTCAATATAAGACTTCTAGGGGGCCTTTAAGATGTGATTTTTCCTTTGAAGACCTCTATTGAAACGGCTTTTCATACATCTCCATTACATCCGCTTTCGAGTACAACCCCCGCAAAAAACCTGCAAAACTGTAAATTCGCAGTTCAAACTCATTTAGGTGGACCAGTTGTAAATGTTTGTTGTATCACCCACACAAATCTTTAGTTTTACAGTAGCCGATTAGACACCAATCTTGGCAGCCTAGCAACCTGCTCCTCCTCCAACATTCAACCGACTAACCAGACAACCATCAAACCACCTGCACCTGAATTTATGACTGCCAATCCATTTCCACTGACTTTGTAATTAGTTAATGTAACTTTTATTATTATTGTTGTTATTATTGTAATAGACGATAATTATTAGACAGATTAATAAGATCGAGCCGCTTGTTTTGTTGTCGACGCAGGTGGAACCTTAACCTTAACCTACCCGCATTGTTAATGGACCATTGAGAGATTATTTCAAGATTTTGCGAAATGCAAAAAAATATTTATTGTGACATTCAATGGAGAAACAAATAATCATAAAATAGGGGCAAGGTGGTGGCTAAGAGCACGTGGAGATTTAATGGATGTTGGTAGTTGGGTGTAATCTCTTTGGACGTAATAATTTGAGACTAATAATGATAGCGACACCTTCCTTAAATAGGTAGAGATATAGGTAATTATCGTTGACATGTTGTCAAGGAGGATGATTAGGATGACGGGAAGGTCTGCTCATAGATGACCTCCAAGGAAATCTCATAGGAGAAAAAGAAGGTAATCTGAAAGAAGACCCGATAATGTTTTATCATATACAACCGGAATGTTGAATGCCAAGGTGGTCTTTTCACACAGGATCTCTAAGTTTTTCCCATAGATTTCCAGAAGTTCTTCTCCTAAAAGATTAAAAACCTATTTTCATAGAACACCGAAACATCTTCTTATAGAAGGTCTTTTCGTAGAAGACCAGAAGAAAGTCTTCTTACAGAGGACAATAGGGTTTTCTTGTATTTTATTAGTATTTGTAATTATTTATAGCAGACCAGAATGTCTTCTTAAAGAAAGAAAGCCGAAAGTCTTTTTATAGAGTACCAGAAGGTAATTCATAGAAGACTAGAAGGTCCTCACACAGAAGAACAGAAGGTCCTCCTTAGAAGAGCAGGAGGTTTTCTCATAGAAGAGCACAATGTCTTTTCAAAGAAGAGCAGTAGGCCTTCTCAAAGAAGAGCAGAAGGTCTTCTCATAGAAGAGCAGTAGGTCTTCTCATAGAAGACCAGGAGGTCTTCTCATAGAAGAGCAGGAGGTCTTCTCAGAGAAGCGCAGGAGGTCTTCTCAGAGAAGAGCAGGAGGTCTTCTCTTAGAAGAACAGGAGGTCTTTTCTTAAAGGAACAGGAGGCCTTCTCATAGAAGACCAGAAGCAGGTCTGTTTATAGAAGACCAGAAGGAGGTCTGCTCATAGAAGACCAGAAGGAGGTCTGCTCAGAGAAGAGCAGAAGGTCTTCTCATAGAAGAGCAAGAGGTCTTATCATAGAAGAGCACAAGGTCTTATCATAGAAGATCACAAGGTCTTCTCAGAGAAGAGCAGAAGGTCTTCTCAGAGAAGAGCAGAAGGTCTTCTCAGAGATGAGCAGAAGGTCGTCTCAGAGAAGAGCAGAAGGTCTTCTCAGAGAAGAGCAGAAGGTCTTCTCAGAGAAGAGCAGAAGGTCTTCTCAGAGAAGAGCAGAAGGTCTTCTCAGAGAAAAGCAGGAGGTCTTCTCAGAGAAAAGCAGGAGGTCTTCTCAAAGAAGAGCAGGAGGTCTTCTCAGAGAAGAGCACGAGGTCTTCTCAGAGAAGAGCACGAGGTCTTCTCATAGGAGACCAGAAGGTCTTCTCATAGGAGACCAGAAGGTCTTCTCATAGGAGACCAGAAGGTCTTCTCATAGAAGTCCAGAAGGTCTTCTCATAAAAGACCAGAAGGTCTTCTCATAGGAGACCAGAAGGTCTTCTCATAGGAGACCAGAAGGTCTTCTCATAGGAGACCAGAAGGTCTTCTCATAGGAGACCAGAAGGTCTTCTCATAGGAGACCAGAAGGTCTTCTCATAGGAGACCAGAAGGTCTTCTCATAGGAGATCAGAAGGTCTTCTCATAGGAGACCAGAAGGTCTTCTCATAGGAGACCAGAAGGTCTTCTCATAGGAGACCAGAAGGTCTTCTCATAGGAGACCAGAAGGTCTTCTCATAGGAGACCAGAAGGTCTTCTCATAGGAGACCAGAAGGTCTTCTCATAGGAGACCAGAAGGTCTTCTCATAGGAGACCAGAAGGTCTTCTCATAGAAGACCAGAAGGTCTTCTCATAGGAGACCAGAAGGTCTTCTCATAGGAGACCAGAAGGTCTTCTCATAGGAGACCAGAAGGTCTTCTCATAGGAGACCAGAAGGTCTTCTTGTAGGAATGAGGACTTCTAATAGAAGACCAGAATGAGGACTTCTTATAGAAGACCAGAATGAGGTCTTCTTATAGAAGACCAGAATGAGAACTTCTTATAGAAGACCAGAATGAGGTCTTCTTATAGAAGACCAGAATGAGGTCTTCTTATAGAAGACCAGAATGAGGTCTTTTTATAGAAGACCAGAATGACGTCTTCTTATAGAAGACCAGAAGGTCTTCCTATAGAAGACCAGAAGGTCTTCCTATAGAAGACCAGAAGGTCTTCCAATAGAAGACCAGAAGGTCTTCCAATAGAAGACCAGAAGGTCTTCCAATAGAAGACCAGAAGGTCTTCCTATAGAAGACCAGAAGGTCTTCCTATAGAAGACCAGAAGGTCTTCCTATAGAAGACCAGAAGGTCTTCCTATAGAAGACCAGAAGGTCTTCCTATAGAAGACCAAAAGGTCTTCCTATAGAAGGCCAGAAGGTCTTCCTATAGAAGGCCAGATAGTCTTCCTATAGAAGGGCAGAAGGTCTTCCTATAGAAGGCCAGAAGGTCTTCCTATAGAAGGCCAGAAGGTCTTCCTATAGAAGGCCAGAAGGTCTTCCTATAGAAGGCCAGAAGGTCTTCCTATAGAAGGCCAGAAGGTCTTCCTATAGAAGGCCAGAAGGTCTTCCTATAGAAGGCCAGAAGGTCTTCCTATAGAAGGCCAGAAGGTCTTCCTATAGAAGGCCAGAAGGTCTTCCTATAGAAGGCTAGAAGGTCCCCCATAGAAGACCAGAAGGTCCTCCCATAGAAGACCAGAAGGTCCTCCCATAGAAGACCAGAAGGTCCTCCCATAGAAGACCAGAAGTCCCTGAAAATCGATTTTAGTGATTCGGGACTAAAAATCGGTTTCATTGCTCCAACATTCGAACCGAAATCATCTACGACTAGCATCATCGATTTGGAGCAGTTTTGAATCAATCTTTGAATCTTTTTTGCTTCCAGGTCTACCCTAAAGGCATTTACAATCTCCTGATGTGGATCAAAAAGGAATACAACAATCCACCGGTAATTGTGACCGAAAGTGGTGTCAGTGATCGTGGTGGTCTGGAGGACTATCCTCGTGTTGATTATTATAATCAGTATTTGAATTTTGTACTGGATGCCTTGGAAGATGGTGCCAATGTGCAGGGCTACATTGCCTGGAGCCTGATGGACAGTTATGAGTGGAAGGCCGGTTTTACGTGAGTATAAATCACTCTCTTAAAAGATAAACACATTTCGAAACTTCTCTCTCTTCCCTCTCTCCGTAGTGAAAAATTCGGTCTCTACCATGTCGATTTCAATGACCCGCAACGCAAACGCACACCCAAGATTTCGGCCCGTGTCTTTGCCCACATCTGTAAAACGAATCGCATCGATTGGAATTATCGCCCATCGTTGAATGAAGAACAAATCACGGCCATGTCTCGCCTACCGGCATTGGAGACAACCTCAGGCTCTGCGGGCCGTGGTCTAAGTCAGCGAAGTTATCTTCGAAATATTATCGTGCGCAGCTTGTCATTAGTTGTAATTGTTTTAGCTTTAGCCAAATATTTGAAATAAAGAAATAAACCTTGCCATTCCATCGCCGCCCCCACCTAACCCCAGTACCCCCATCCACCAATGTCAAGTGCTGACTAAACTTGACATCTCATATGTGTATGAAGTATTTGTATGTATGTATGCGTATTATTATTTGTTAATGCATCGAAGAAATCTAATCATTGTTTTATAATGTTTTCGAATAGGTGTAAATAAAATAATAAAATTAAAAAAATAAATAAAAAATTAAAAAAAAAAAAATTAAATAGATTTTCATTTGAAGAAAGAGTTTTATTTGAGAAGACCGACTTCTGGTCTTCTATGAGAAGACCGACTTCTGGCCTTCTATGCGAAGAAGACCGATTTCTGGACTTCTATGTGGAGAAGACCGACATCTGGTCTTCTATGTGAAGAAGACCTCTAGGTCTTCTATGTGAAGAAGGTCTTCTATGAGAATACCTGTAGGTCTTCTATGAAGAAGTCCGAGTCTTCTATGAGAAGACCTCCGAGTCTTCTGTGAGAAGACCTCCTTGTCTTCTATGAGAAGACCTCCGAGTCTTCTATGAGAAGACCTCCTTGTCTTCTATGAGAAGGCCTCTAGGTTTTCTATGAAGAAGAACTTGTGGTCTTCTATGAGAATACCTGTAGGTCTTCTGTGAAAAAGACTTCCAGGTCTTCTGTGAAAAAGACTTCCAGGTCTTCTATGAGAAGACCTCCGAGTCTTCTATGAGAAGACCTCCGAGTCTTCTATGAAGAAGACCTCCGAGTCTTCTATGAGAAGACCTCCGAGTCTTCTATGAGAAGACCTCCGAGTCTTCTATGAGAAGACCTCCGAGTCTTCTATGAGAAGACCTCCGAGTCTTCTATGAGAAGACCTCCGAGTCTTCTATGAGAAGACCTCCGAGTCTTCTATGAGAAGTACCTCTCGTCTTCTATGAAGAAGACCTCCACGTCTTCTATGAAGAAGACCTCCACGTATTCTATGAAGAAGACCTCCACGTCTTCTAGGAAGAAGACCTCCACGTCTTCTAGGAAGAAGACCTCCAGGTCTTCTATGACGAAGACCTCCAGGTCTTCTATGATGAAGACCTCCAGGTCTTCTATGATGAAGACCTCCAGGTCTTCTATGAAGAAGACCTTCAGGTCTTCTATGACGAAGACCTCCAGGTCTTCTATGACGAAGACCTACAGGTCTTCTATGACGAAGACCTCCAGGTCTTCTATGACGAAGACCTCCAGGTCTTCTATGACGAAAACCTCCAGGTCTTCTATGACGAAGACCTCCAGGTCTTCTATGACGAAGACCTCCAGGTCTTCTATGACGAAGACCTCCAGGTCTTCTATGACGAAGACCTCCAGGTCTTCTATGACGAAGACCTCCAGGTCTTCTATGACGAAGACCTCCAGGTCTTCTATGACGAAGACCTCCAGGTCTTCTATGACGAAGACCTCCAGGTCTTCTATGACGAAGACCTCCAGGTCTTCTATGAAGAAGACCTTCAGGTCTTCTATGAAGAAGACCTTCAGGTCTTCTATGACGAAGACCTTCAGGTCTTCTATGACGAAGAATTTCAGGTCTTCTATGACGAAGACCTTCAGGTCTTCTATGACGAAGACCTCCAGGTCCTCTATGAAGAAGACCTCCAGGTCCTCTATGAAGAAGACCTCCAGGTCTTCTATGAAGAAGACCTCCAGGTCTTCTATGAAGAAGACCTCCAGGTCTTCTATGAAGAAGACCTCCAGGTCTTCTATGAAGAAGACCTCCAGGTCTTCTTTGAAGAAGACCTCCAGGTCTTCTTTGAAGAAGACCTCCAGGTCTTCTATGAAGAAGACCTCCAGGTCTTCTATGAAGAAGACCTCCAGGTCTTCTATGAAGAAGACCTCCAGGTCTTCTATGAAGAAGACCTCCAGGTCTTCTATGAAGAAGACCTCCAGGTCTTCTATGAAGAAAACCTCCAGGTCTTCTATGAAGAAGACCTCCAGGTCTTCTATGAAGAAGACCTCCAGGTCTTCTATGAAGAAGACCTCCAGGTCTTCTATGAAGAAGACCTCCAGGTCTTCTATGAAGAAGACCTCCAGGTCTTCTATGAAGAAGACCTCCAGGTCTTCTATGAAGAAGACCTCCAGGTCTTCTATGAAGAAGACCTCCGAGTCTTCTATGAGAAGACCTTCTGGTCTTCTATGAGAAGACCTTCTGGTCTTCTATGAAGAAGACCTTCTGGTCTTCTATGAGAAGACCTTCTGGTCATCTATGAGAAGACCTTCTGGTCATCTATGAGAAGACCTTCTGGTCTTCTATGAAGAAGACCTTCTGGTCTTCTATGAAGAAGACCTTCTGGTCTTCTATGAAGAAGACCTTCTGGTCTTCTATAAAGAAGAACTTCTGGTCTTCTATGAAGAAGACCTTCTGGTCTTCTATGATGAAGACCTTCTGGTTTTCTATGATGAAGACCTTCTGGTCTTCTATGATGAAGACCTTCTGGTCTTCTATGATGAAGACCTTCTGGTCTTCTATGATGAAGAGCTATAGGTCTTCTATGGAAAAGACCTCTAGGTTTTCTATGAAGAAGACCTTCTGCTCTTCTATGAAGAAGACCTTCTGCTCTTCTATGAAGAAGACCTTCTGCTCTTCTATGAAGAAGACCTTCTGCTCTTCTATGAAGGAGACCTTCTGGCCTTCTATGAGAAGACCTTCTGGTTTTCTATTCAGAAGACCTTCTGGTCTTCTATAAAGAAGACCCTTTGGTCTTCTATGAGAAGACCTTCTGGTCTTCTATAAGAAGATCTTCTGGTCTTCTATAAGAAAATCTTCTGGTCTTCTATAAGAAGACCTTCTGGTCTTCTATAAGAAGATCTTTCGGTCTTCTATAAGAAAACCTTCTGGTCTTCTATAAGAAGATCTTCTGCTCTTCTATAAGAAGACCTTCTGCTCTTCTTACTTTATACTTCTTACTTTTTATTCTAAATATAATTACTCTATGTCGAAACAACAAAGACAACCTAAAATAATTTATTATGCAAAAACACTTATCGCCCTCCAGACACATCTCCCGGCTAGATTTAAATCCAAAATACACAACATTAATTAAGTGCGCACGACTTTCCATCAAATGTCTACATACAAGAAGTATTTTACGATATCTTATCTCGCTGAACTTTTAATAGATTTTATCACCTAAGCCAGGCGGACAATAAGTCATATCTGCAATTAGCAAATGATGTTTTCAAAGTGTTGGACGTTTCTATTATTGTTTGCATCCGCAAAGGAGAATGTAAATATATATATATTTTTTGTCTTAAATCCAAATTTGCATACTAAACTCATAAACATTAGAAAAAAAGTTTATTTCAATAGATCATAACTATTTATTGTTGTTGTTAAACAAAAAACAAAAACAAACTTGTGAATATATTTTAAATCGGCTGTAAAACGGTTTATTGTGTGAACATCTGCGATTATCTCAGATAAGAAAAAAAAAAACAAAAGTTATTTATTGGGTACATTAAGGTGGGTCATTTTCATTGAATGTTGGAAAGGTTTTTTTCTCATAGAAAACCAGAAGGTTTTCTCATAGAAGATTAGAAAGTCATCTCATGGAAGAACAGAAGGTCTTCTTATAGAAGACCATAAGGTCTTCTTATAAAAGACCAGAAGGTCTTCTTTTAAAGGACCTGAATTTCTTAATATAGAAGACCAGGAGGTCTTCTTATAGAAGACCAGGAGGTCTTCTTATAGAAGACCAGGAGGTCTTCTTATAGAAGACCAGGAGGTCTTCTTATAGAAGGCCAAAAAGTCTTCTTATAGAATACCAGAAGGTCTTCTCATCGAATACCAGAAGGTCTTCTTAGAGAAGACGTGGAGGTTTTCTCCATAGAAGACCTGGAGGTTTTCTCCATAGAAGACCTGGAGGTCTTCTCCATAGAAGACCTGGAGGTCTTCTCCATAGAAGACCTGGAGGTCTTCTCCATAGAAGACCTTGAGGTCTTCCCCATAGAAGACCAGAAGGTCTTTGTATAGAAGACCAGAAAGTCTTCTCATAGAAGACCAGAAGTTCTTCTCATAGAAGACCAGAAGGTCTTCTCATAGAAGACCAGAAGGTGGACTTCTCATAGAAGACCTGGACGTGGTCTTCTCATAGAAGACCTGGAGGTGGTCTTCCCATAGAAGACCTGGAGGTGGTCTTCTCATAGAAGACCTGGAGGTGGTCTTCTCATAGAAGATCTGGAGGAGGTCTTCTCTTAGAAGACCTGGAGAAGGTCTTCTCTTAGAAGACCTGGACGTGGTCTTCTCATAGAAGACCTGGACGTGGTCTTCTCATAGAAGACCTGGACGTGGTCTTCTCTTAGAAGACCTGGAGAAGGTCTTCTCTTAGAAGACCTGGACGTGGTCTTCTCATAGAAGACCTGGACGTGGTCTTCTCATAGAAGACCTGGAGGTGGTCTTCTCATAGAAGATCTGGAGGAGGTCTTCTCTTAGAAGACCTGGAGGAGGTCTTCTCTTAGAAGACCTGGAGGAGGTCTTCTCTTAGAATACCTGGAGGAGGTCTTCTCTTAGAAGACCTGGAGGAGGTCTTCTCTTAGAAGACCTGGAGGAGGTCTTCTCTTAGAAGACCTGGAGGAGGTCTTCTCTTAGAAGACCTGGAGGAGGTCTTCTCTTAGAAAACCTGGAGGTGGTCTTCTCATAGAAGACCTGGAGGTGGTCTTCTCATAGAAGACCTGGAGGTGGTCTTCTCATAGAAGACCTGGAGGTGGTCATCTCCATTGAAGAAGACCAGTTGGTGGTCTTCTTCGTAGAAGATAAGTTGGTGGTCTTCTTCGTAGAAGACATGTTGGTGGTCTTCTTCGTAGAAGACAAGTTGGTGGTCTTCTTCGTAGAAGACCAGTTGGTGGTCTTCTTCGTGGAAGACCAGTTGGTGGTCTTCTTCGTGGAAGACCAGTTGGTGGTCTTCTTCGTAGAAGACAAGTTGGTGGTCTTCTTCGTAGAAGACAAGTTGGTGGTCTTCCTCGCAGAAGATCAGTAGGAGGTCTTCTCCGTAGAAGACCAGTTGCTGGTCTTCTCCATAGCAGAAGACCAGTTGGTGGTCTTCTCCATAGAAGACGACCAGTTGCTGGTCTTCTCCATAGAAGACGACCAGTTGCTGGTCTTCTCCATTGAAGAAGACCCGTTGGTGGTCTTCTCTATAGAAGAAGACCCGTTGGTGGTCTTCTCTATA